CCCTCAACATCTCGCCATCTCGCCATCCTCCCCTCCCTCCCTCGATCCATCTGTCCATCTTATATATATATTTTTTTCCTTGGTAAGCAGTCTTCCTTCACCCCTTCATCCCTTCTTCTTCTTCTTCTTCTTCTTCTTTTTCTCCGGCATTGTAAAGCAGTCCCCCTCCATCCGTCCATCCTAGCATTTTATCAAGTGCTTATTGGAAGCGGAGGAGGTGGTTGGAGCAGCATGGCCAGCTCCAGCAGGGCAAGGGGTGCGGTTGGCGGAGAAGGAAGCAGGAGGCAGTCGGAAAGAGGAGGGGGTAGAGGGAAGGACATTGCAAGCTCGAGCGCACCTTCGTCTGGGCTGGTTGACAAAGTCCCAACGCCGGCTACAGGCCCATCCTTGTTCGTCCTACAGGCGGAGGAAAAGCAAAAGAAGTTGCAGGGCGAGAAGGAGGTGTGGAAGCATGTAGAGCAAGGTTAGGAGGCTGTGCCAAAGGGGCGGGGAGAGTATTGGCCGTGGTGTCGGCTGTGCTCGACCATTTACAGAGGCACGAGCACAAGAGCCATTGAGCATTTCCTAGAACTACAGAAGCCTTGCCCTTTCAGGACGGGCGAGATATTGCACAAGCTGGTGGCCCAAGGCGCGAAGGTGTTGCCGAAGGACAAGAAGACACAATACATTCTGCAAAATTATCGGCAGTTTCACAACATTTCCGCGGGGGGTGCTACTGTCAATGACGACGACAAGAGTGCGGTTGTTCCTCGCGGTTATGAGGAGCCACAACCGCCGGTTGCTGCTGGAAGGGAGCCAGTGGAGGAGCCGGTGCAGCGGGGAAAAGAACCTGCAGCGGCACAGGCGGCGGGAGAAGATGGTGCTTCCACCACAAGGATGGCTTCAATGCAACAAACGACCATCAAGAGATGGGTCGACAATATGGCCCAGAAGAAGTTGGATGTCGCGTGGGCGGAGGCAATGTTCAGAGCCGGAATTGCATTCCAATTCCTCGAGTTTGACACCACGCAGCAGCTGCACAGCGTGTACCTCGAGGTGGCGAATGCCAGACCGCAGGTGAAGTTGCCGTCTTCGAAGCACATTCGGACTGTCATGCTGGAGTTCATTTCCATGCGCATTCAAAAGCAAGTGGAACCGTTGACGAAATGTTGGGATGTCACCAGCTGCACTTTCATCACGGACGGGTCTAACGATCGGAGGGAGCGGCCTGTTATGAACTTCTTAGCGGCGGGGGAGCAAGGAGCTGTTCTGGTGGCGACGGTGTACATGGACGGAAAGAAGAAGACGGGAGCGGCGTTGGCGAAACTGTGGGAGAAAATAACGAGGGAGATTTGGCTGCATCGCATCAACGCGATATGCACTGACAATGAGGAGGTGAACAAAAGAGCAGCTCAAATTTTGGAACGGCACACGGACCCTGCGGTTGCAAGGATACCTTGGGTTCCCTGCGCTGCACATTGCTGCAGCTTGCTGCTAAGGGACATCAGCAAGTTGGACTGGGTGAAGGGCACGGTGAAGCGGGGCCACACCATCGTCAAATTCATCAGGAATCACCACACGACTAACAATTTCATGATGATCTTGGACTCATCCTTGACGCTGTTGCGACCGACCGAGGTCCGTTTCGGGTCGGTGTACCGGACGCTGGAGCGGATACACAACCGGAGGGCAGTTTTGAAGGACATGGTGGACGCGACGAATGTGGAGAAATGAAAGGCGATGCGGTGGTCGAGCGCGAAGCTGCAAGCGAAAGCGGATCTCGTGTACTTCACACTGCGGAGGGATGCTTGGTGGACGGAGCTACGGAAGGTGGTGGAGATGATGGAGCCGTTGTATCTCCTTCTGCGGAGGATGGACAAGGACAGGACAGCACCGCCAAACCTTGTGGAGTACGACCGACTCATGGAGAGGATGCTGGCGGAGGTTGTGCTAACACCGAAGCAGCGAAGTTCGGTCCTGGAGAAGGTGAGGGACCGCATGAAGATGATGCGGCAACCGGTGCACGCGCTGGCTTTTCTTCTCGACCCGCGGAGGAGAGATCCGAAGTGGTTGCTGGATCTGGACAGTGCACTTGTGCAGAATGCGCTGCGTTATTTGCAAAGGCAAATTGGCGGACATTGGAAGTCTCAGGCGCACAGGGATATAATGAAAGACCTGCACGAGTTCCACAAGCAACCCACCGCATTCGACCCCAATCGGAAGGACAAGAAGATGTGGGAGCCGGATGCGATCGAGGATGCTGATATTATCTCGCCGTCGGAGTGGTGGGCAACATATGGTGTCGATGTGCCAGTTGCAGGCCATCGCCATCAAAGTGATGGGCATGTGGAGCACAACAACTCCGGCGGAGCGTAATTGGTCGTCGATGGACTTGGTGCACTCCAAGCGACGGAATCGATTGAAGCCCGCGACCGTGGAGAAGCTTGTGTACATTCATTGGAATATGAATCTGTTGCGGGCGAGCAAAAACTTGAAGGACCATCACTAYGTCGATTTGTGGGYGGAGTTCTTCGAGTCTCTTCCGGATGCSGAGGAGGGCGACGATCCTCTTTTGGCGSTGSCCGAGGAGGAGAAGGGGAAAACGRAGGARGAACAGGCCCRGGAACGGGCCTTAACCAAGTTGCCAAAGGGCCGGATTCCGAAGAACCTCGAAGATGATGAAGAGGAGCACACGGACGACAGCGACCTGGAGGACGAGATATGGAAGGGAAAGGCTCCATGGTCGGAATTGTGTAGCAAAGGGGAGGCAGACGACGGGTCCGACGATGACTTTGAGCTGGGAGCGCTGCCCACAATCCCGGGCACCACATATGTTGGGAGGAGGCGATCAGCGCGGTGCCATGGAGAACGCCCGCCCACAACACCATGTCAAGGGACGGCTAATACAAGTGCGCAGTATGACATCCAGTCCGATGTTTAGATACCGCAGACGGACACCGACATTGAGATGGTGCTTCGCCCTGGTCCGATCGACGTGGATGAGGCGGAGGCCGATCGTGCGAAGGCAATGGCTGATGCGGATCGCGAACGGGTGCAAAGGAGAATGAGAGAGGAGGAGCGGCAAGCAGCTGTACCGACCCGTAGAGAACTGCAAAAACAAAAGAAGAAGGTTGGAGAGCATGAACCGGAGCCTGCGCGGGAGATGGGGCAGCACGAGGAGGAGGAAGAGGAGGAGATGGGGCAGCGAGACGAGGTGGAAGAGGAGGAGATGCGCCAGCAAAACAAGGAGCAAGAACACGACATGGCCCACCTAGCGCAGGAAGAAGAAGAGATGGAGGAGGAAGAAGAAGAGGCTTGCATGGAGCAGCGAGAGGAGGAGATGGAAGAAGACGAAGGGAAGGGCACGGACCAGCAAGAAGAGGGGTCGGAGGACCAACATGCGAAACGGGTGGGAGAGAGCGAGGAGGAGGAGCAGCATGACGAGATGGCGCACAGCGAGCAGCCGCAACAGCAACAGTATGCACCGACGACCGTGTACAAGCATCGGAAGAAAACAGCGGAGCCTGCCGGGTCGCCGGAGAATTCCCCCGAATTCCCAGACAACTTAGAGGGGAGCCAACACGACAACCTGTGGGTCAGCAGGGTTGGGAGGAAGAGGAAGCCCCCCCCTGTCGACGATGTGCCGAGGCCGAAACTTCCACGTGGCAGGCCTCGGGAGAACAAGACTGCCAGCCCGGCTACGAAGCCGAAAAAAAAAAAACGGAAGTGCATGCCTCGCACAAAGATTGTCGACGACGACCCCGATTCCGACAGCTGCAGCGAGCAGTTCGTCGAAGACGAGGGTTGCACTGATGACTAAAATTGGTGTGGGTGTGGGTGTGGGTGTG